GCAACACTCTAGTCTTCACATAGCAAAAGAAGGCTCAGCTCTCTGGGTCCCTGAAAGCAGGGGAGAGAACAGCCTGGTTCCACTGAAAACAAGCCAGTGCTCTGGTCTCACTTCACTGGCTTTGACTCACACTACTCACCTCCCTGCTCCCCACCTTAGCCTCTAGGAATGCTTCTCATTGCTGACCTTGACTGCCTTCTTTCTGCCATCAGCTCCTGACAAGACAGCAGCCTCGCTGCAAGATGCTGCAGCTTAGGTGCTTCAGAGCCTTGCATTTCTTCCCAGCTTCACCTCAGATTCCCCAAGAACAAGGAAAGATGTTTGTGAGATAAACCCACCTCAGGCAGGTGACTAAGGTCCTTTGTCCTTTTTTTTAGTGGTGTAGTTGGGATCCAGGTGAACTGGGACTGAGTTCATTCCACATGAGTGTTTAGTGGCACTAAATTATCCCCCTAAATTGCACGGCAGTACAAGCAGGATGCAATGTAAGAGTGGAATGGATACATAAGCACAACACTAATTAGCCTCCATCCTGACAAGATCATGGAAGAGATGTCCAGAGACTGTTTCTTGCTTCACTCCATTGCCAGGACATAATGGTTGTCTCCCCTCCCACTTCCTCCCCCAGTCCCCTTTAACTCCTCCCTGCTTTCAGTTTTAGCTCCCACTCACCTTCCCACAATAACTCTGGATGCTAATCTGGTGCTTATCCCAGCTCTCTAATGACCAGTGCCTGCAAACTCATGCTGGAAGCCTATCACAAGCAACACTTAGTTTTCTGGCACCTCCTACCTTTGTTTGGTTGGGAGCATACTGGATTAACAGACCCTCACATTCCTCCTACTATTAGAGACCCCAGCTTTCTCCTAGAGTACTCAACTTTCACCTTCTTATGCACTATTTTACACAGAGAAGACTTTGCCTTCCTGGAAGGTCTTCTCAGGTCCATTCTGTACTCCTGTGAAGCAGAAGCTCCTGGTCACTTCTGCTTGACCATAGTCTCTGGGTAGGCTCATCCCAGCCCTGTGCACAGAGAAGGCTGGGAGAAGAGGACACAAGCGTGAATGAAATGCAGTGGTCAAAGAGAGGCTCAGATCAGCTTGCTGACAGCAGAGCAAAAGGGTTGCTGCCATCCCACATAAGTGAAGACTCAATCTCCTTTTGCCTGGAACATGCTTTAGGCACCCAAACTTCTTGCAAAAGGAGCTCAGGCTTACAGAAAAAGGACTTCACTGAACAGAGAGAGGCAAAGGCAGGAAGTCTCTGCTAACAACAGCATGCAGGTTAGACTGCAGGGAGATGCTGATGCTGGCAATCCAGAGAGAAGCATTAGGAAGAGATGCTCTGGTTACACAGCCAGCAGCCTCAGGAATAGATATTCAGCAACCTCCTTGTGTTCAGGGGAGGTTCTGCTCTGACTGTCGGTAACCCAGAGGGCAGAAAAAGCCTTTCAAATAGGTTTGGTACCAAGTCACAGAACAAAGATCGGGGGTGGAAACAGACAGCTATGCTATCCAAGCATGTGCCAAATGCTTCTTAGGGTCATTCATACACCATCACCACCTACCTGACGTGCTCACACGAGAAAAGCCTTTTTAGTCTTAAAACTTTGTTCACCAGGTGCATGACGAGGTAGCAGAAATGCATTCTGTTCTTGGCTCCTGGCTGGGGCATTAAGTAGCAGGAATACTACAGCACCCCCTGCCCTCCGCCCCCCCCCGCCCCCCCCCCCCGCATTTCTCAAGGTCACTCCTTAAGAGGTACAGTCAATTTGATTCACCTCTTTCTACTCTCCGCAGCTCCCTCCTCCAGCAAGAAATACTGGTGGAACAAAGGGCTGGCTGCTTGTGGCTTGCATCCAGATTTACACTGGGGTAATTCCACAGATTTCAACACAGCCACACCAGAAAAAGCCTGGAATTTAACGCTAATCTTATGAATCACATAGGAAACGCAGACAGCACAGCTTCAGCTATGATCCCAAGAGAAAGGCTGCTGCAAGTTGAACTAGCAGTGTGGCTGAACAGAGATCCCTGCAACCAAGTCCAGCTGGAAAAGTTTAACCCTCTCCCTGACAGTTTCACATCAAACCTGCTGCTGGCAGCAGCCCTTTCTTTACAGTTAGAAATGAATTTGCTGCACCCAGCATCTCAGCAGGGCAGTTAAAACAGGGTTTACTTTTGCAGCCCTGAAGATGGGCAGGTCTCTCTTATGTACACACACACCACAGCACATGGGCTTCTCAGACTAGGCTCTGAGCATTGCCTCTGGGCACAGGAAGACACAAGTGTGAGACACAGAGCATTATGAACCCAAGCACCCACTTTAAGGTTCCCTAGGCCATAGGCTGCCCCACCACCCAGAAGCTACATCAAGTTGAAAAGAATGGCTGTTGGAGGGGGCTACTCTGATCCGAGCAGTCACGGGGATACCCTACGTGAGGCTTCCCACAGCCTTTGCACTTTGGACGACGGACAAGAGGGCCACGAGTGACTCATGTCTCCACACTAATGCCCTGCATGCACTCCTCAGCCCTGGGCTACTTTTTGCCACGTCGGTGTTTCATGGGACATCTCACACCACCCTGTCCTTGTGAAGGAACACTCTCAGAGTTTGAGTGGAGGTGGCTCTTCAGTTGAAAGCTGTTGATGGGCACCAGGGGCACGGAGGGGGGAAACAGAAGAGGGACCCAGGCATAGCACTAGTAGCAGAGGCCCCTTCTGCCATCCACGGCCCACGGCCATCGAGTGTGCAGGCATACCCGCGAGGGAAGCAGGCAGGCGGCTGGGTTTTACCTGATGAAGGTGGTCTTCCCCGTGGAGTACTGCCCCACGAGGAGCACCATGGGCTTGTTGTCGAAGTCGGCATCTTCCAGGGCCGGCGAGTGGAACTCATGGAACTTGTAGTGCTCTTCCAGTGGGAGAAGCTTGGTTTTGTAGAGCTTTTTCAGGCCCTCGCTGACCGTTTGAA